CAGGCTCCCTGCTGAGCAGAGAGCCCGACACGGGGCTCGATCCCAGGACTCTGGGATCATGACCTGAGCCGAAGGCAGAGGCTTTAACCCGCTGAGCCACCCAGGCACCCCTGAAGTTAACTTTTTAAATACATTAAAGTTTAAAAAACTGTATTTAGAGGTGCCTGGATGGCGCAGTCAGTTAAGCGTCCAACTCTTGCTTTTGGCTCAGGTCCTGCTCTCAGTATCGTGAGATCGAGCCCCACATCAGGCTCCGTGCTCAGCACCAAGTTTGCTTCGGATTCTCTCTCCCTCTGCCCCTCCCACTTGTGCTCTCTCTTGCTCACTCTCTAAAATAAATAACTAACTCTTCTCAAACAAGGGTATATTTAAGGAAAATTATAGTACAGGTACACACAAGGCAAAATTCATCGAGGTAGTTCTTGAAAAAATGAATTTGGCAAACTCTACACACCGTGGAAATGGAACAATACAAATCCCCCTTTGAGAAAGAAAATAGGCAATTAGAACTGAATTTCTTTGTAAGAGAGAAGGCAGCTGGGATGAAAAGGAGCCTATGAAACAATCACCTGGACCTCTTTATCTGAAGACAGAGGAGGGATTCTCGGTCTCTGGTAGATATGAAACCTTGCAGGTTCCTAGTTCCACAGATGGACTAATTGAGCTAAGATCAAAGGTGCCAATTCCAATTGTTCTACTGTGTTTCTTCTCTTGTGGCTCACAGAGAATGTCCAGGAGCAAAGAGTGATGAGCAGAGTTTGTTGTTACCTCTTTTAGAATTTATATGCCAGCCCCTGTTTGGGCAGACCGACAATTGTACAACATATTGTAGGCAATTGTACTAAATCATAAAACAGGGCCAGTGAAGGAGACAAAGACTTCAGTTATAACTATAATCTTGAAGTACATTATAACCCCCAAATGTGGGTCTGTTTGGTCTTTCTGATGGAATGCTTAAGACAGCACCACAAAAAGTTAATTGCTTAGTAGTCTTGAAAATTATCAAATGTTCCAAAAAAGCAATGATTTTTTGTTGTTATTTTCTACTAACAGCACAATGTTCCAACAATTATACTTGGATAATCTCCTGCTCACTCCCTCCCAGCATTACCAATAGTTAGTCACTCTTTAACAGTGGTTCTGGCAGTGAGGGCCCAGGACAGGCAGCATCAGCAGGGAATGCGCTGGGGACGCCCCAGCCCCAGCCCCAGCCCGGATCTACCCCATCACACACTTGGCAGGGGATGGCTGCTTGAACAATACAGAGGATTCAAAGCCGCTAGGAGGACCACTACTATCAAAAAAAAGTGGTTATGGGAGTGCGGTCTAAGACTGTCATGTGCTTTTTACTAATCAAAGAACTAACATCTTGTCCCATTTTAATATGGATGCTAGACATTAGAAATTTTGTTAGAAAGAAAGGAATTTCCAACAAAAATGGGGCCCTCCCGCCTCTGCCAGCCAGGTGCCCATCAACATCACAAACTCTCTTTCTTGGATAACTTTCCAGGGTCATCAACTGAGACAACAGGAGACTTTCTCTTCTAGTGCGAAGAGTTCACCTTGGCTCCATCTGACTCCTGTAGAACCCCATGTCCCACAGACCCCACGACACAGCGGTTTCAAAATGAACCACCATCTCATTCTAACTTGATTCTCGGGGTGTAAACTGCTTAGTGGTTAAACATACCGGGGCCCAGTCTCATCCCAGCAGCTTGCCGCTGGCTCAGACCATCACAAGCAGCTCTGATTTTACCTTCAGAGGGTGAGCTCCTCCTCTTGTCCCAAACTTCCATTCATTCACTTGGTCACTCATGAAACATTTACTGAGCACACAGGCTTTGAAAAGAGTGTCTCTAGGCGCTGGTGAACCAGCAGTGAGCGAGGCAGATGGCCCTGTTGCTACAAAAGATCGCAACCACTGTCTGTCTGTCTCGTTCACACACCTGGCACCCTCCAGGTCAAAACCTGACTGTGATTTCACGGAGCTCCGTGGTCGGCTGGGGTCCATGCAGGGATCTGAGGTAAAAGGGACTTGGGGGCGAATCCTAGCTCTACCAGTCAGCTAGGACATTTGACAAGTTACTTTTCCATTCTCCAAGTCCTCAAGAAAGGACACAAGATTACGCATATGACAGTGTTTGCTGTCAGATGGGTAACAGACCAGACGCAAAGACCAAACGAGATAGTGTAGAGCACAGAGCACCTAGCAGACGCTGAGTAAGTTCTACCTCCCTTGCCCTGGAAAAGCTCTTCTTCAGCGGCCTGAAGCTCAGTCTGTAACTTTAGGTTAAATTAGTTCTTTCATCACCACCTGGACTTCCATTGCAGCTTTCGGATTTATTGCTTGGGTCCGCATTTCTCGGTGTGTGGTCTGTAAACCACCAAGATCCCAATCCCCTGGCTTATTAGTTATGAAACACAGATGCCTGGGCTCCATCCCAGATTCAGAGATAAGGGAGAGAGAGCAGGAAATCTTTTTTTTTTTTTTACTCTGTTATTTATTTGAAAGCAAGAGAGAGCAAGAGCGAGAGGGGCGGGGCGGGGGAAGGGGCAGAGGGAGAAGCAGACTCCCCACTGAGCAGGGAGCCCAACACAGGGCCGATCCCAGAACACTGAGATCATGACCTAAGTCAAAGGCAGACGCCCAACTGACTGAGCCCCCACCCCGGGCGCCCCAGAAAATCTGTTTCTCTAACAAGCTTACCAGGTGATTGGTTGCACACTTAAGTGTGGAAACAACGGGTTTAGCTGCTCAGAGCTACCTCCCCAAGCCTCCTCTTGCCTTTCTCAAAGCTTATTAACTTTGCGTGCCCTCACCTCCTCACCTCACGCTCTCGAAGCTCTTCTTCAAAAGGAAGCCAGAGTGTCAGGATCGAGAGGTCAAGCATGAACACAAACGGGTCTGATGTCAAACTCCAGCCTGACTGCCGGTGGAGCTCGAAGAGAGAGGCAGATGCTTACGCCCTGCCCCATCCGGACTGACTCAGAAACTCTGGGGGCCAGGCCCACCCAGCTAGTTTAATGAGCCCTCCAGGTGATTCTGATGCTCTCCAGCGTGAGGACCACTGCCAGCCACTGGCTCAATAACCTTGCCAGGTTTGTGGCTTCTCGCAAAAGCCTCCATTCCCTCACCTGGGAAATAAGGTACTAACCACAGAGAGTTGTAGAGTGAAAAGACATGGTACATCTAAAGAACTTAGTAATAGGGAGCACTTAATACATACCCATTATTACTGTTATCATTAAGCAAATTGTCCTTTGTCCCATGGATTCTCTTAAGCTGGGGATGTTTGCTTTTTTGCGATGGCGAGTGGAAACTGAGTGATGCCATCTTCAGTGTCTCAAAGCTCAGCAGCTCAGCCAGTCTGTTTTCACTCCAGCCCCATCCCCTGCAATGCCACGCACTCACTCACGCACTCACTCCTACACAGCTCTCTGCCTTCACTCTTCCCGTTCCACTGGCTTGGAATGCCGTTCCGTTGGCTGCCTGCCTAGTCCCCATCTACCTTCTCCCAAAACAAGCAGCTCAGGTCTGCTACAAGGTCTGGCCCAACTCTTCCAGGCCAAATGAATCTGCCCTTCTTAAAACTTTCAGTTATCTGTGTTGTAAGGTTGAACCCCTAAGCACACATATGCATATTATTTGGGGAGTTTATTTCATGTCGAGTTGCCTCTTTAATTAAGAGGTGCCCCTTGGAGATAGTCCAGGTTCATTTCCAGACCACTGCAATAGAGCAAATACCATGACAAAGCTAGTCAAGTGAATTCTTGGTTTCCCAGTGCATGTAAAAGTCATGTTTAGGGGCACCTGACTGGTTCAATCGGTAGAGCCTGTGACTCTTGATCTCAAGGGGGTAAGTTCAAGCCCTGAGTTGGGTGTAGAGATTACTTTAAAAAAGTTATGTTTACACTATAGTGTAGTCTATTAAGCATATAATAGCATTATATCTAAAAAAAAGAAACCTCAGTGTATATACCTTAATTAAAAATAACACCTGACAGTAAAAAATGCTGTCATCAGAGCTTTCAGTGAGTCATAATCGCTTATCCCAGATCACCCTAACAAACAGAATAACGAAAAAATTTGAACTCTTGCAAGAATGACCAAAATGAGACAGAGACACAATAAGTGAATACTGTTGTAAAAAATAGCACCCACTAACTTGTCCGACACAGGGTTACCACAAACCTTCAATTTGTGTAAAAAAAAAAACAAACAACAACAAAATGCAGCGTCTGTGAGGCACAACGAAGTGAGCTATGCCTGAGCTTCTGGGATGGTCCTTTACAGGTCTTTTTCAATCTCTTCCCCTGGCCATCTCTGGTATAAAGGAGTTAATGCATCAGCAAACGTCTAGTGTAGAGGCCAGGCTCTTTAAGGCACCCTTGGAGAAATGTTTCAAAATGCAGACTTTTAAAAATTATGATAATTCTAACAGCCTAGGCTTGTATCAGCCTTCCCCATTTAAATGCTGCTTTGGTGTCTTGAACCCAGACTTGTCACCCCCAAAACCTTGTGAAGCAGGCCGGTATTAATGACCCTGCTGGCACAAAGCACAAGAGGAAAGAGATTCTGATCGTTCTCATGACTTGCACAAAGCCGCCGAACTAAGAGATGGCTGGGCTGGGGTTCCAGCTCCTGCTGACTTGGGTTGGTCTGCTCTGTTTATCCTCCCACTGGGCTGTAAGTCTCTAAATTCAAGGCTCCCATTGAAAGTGCTCAAGTAATGACGGGCCTACTCTGCTTCTTCATGTATTTTTCTAAGATTTTATTTATTTGAGAGAGAGAGACAGCGAGAGAAAGCACGAGCAGGGGGGAGAAGCAGACTCCCTGCCGAGCAGGGAGCCGGATGTGAAGCTCAATCCCCCACCCACGACCCTGGGATCATGACCCCAGTGGAACGCAGACGCTTAACCAGCTGAGCCACCCAGGTGGCGCTCTGCTACTTTCAAGGTCAGGACAGGGCCCATTCGGAGAGCGAGAAGTACAGCCTCACCTGGTGTTCCTAAGCGGGCCTGAGCAATGGTCAGTTTCTCATGGGGTGCTTGGCACTGGCAGCTGGTTTCGTCAGCAAATGGGGCAGGTGCAGTCAGGGTCTAGAAGGGAAAAAGAGAAAGGGAATATAGTCTGACAAACTTTCCTTTGGCACTAACTTCCCCTGAAGCCGTATTCCTGTCGGCTGCACAGCTACGAAGACGAAGCAGAATATATCCAGAGACTTTCAGAGAAAATATTATACTGTTAGAGATAAAAACAGGGACATGATCACTGAACTTTTTTCTTTTTTTTGACTGATGTTCGGCAATCATGACAGTACCACACTCTCTACCCTATGCCAGGTACCAAAGGAGGTAGTCTGGACAGGTGAGCTGTTGGCCCCACATCAGCCTAGCATGGCTCCGTTCCTCTATCCTTCTATAATATAGAAGGCCATCTCTCTACTTCACAGAAAAGGCAACTGAGGCCCAGCAGGATGACGAAATATGCCAAGTCATGCCCTTGGGAAGTCACAGTGCTCGGCTTTGCACATTTTAACCACCACCCAGGGCAGACTGCAAAGATTAAGACTTACCCACAGCCCGGGGTACTCAGCAGGAAGAAATGCCGTACTCAGAAGTGTGGCAGACATCGCCCGTATTTCACACACACGCCAGCCTGACCAATCACAAACTCTGACGTCACTTCAGTGCAAAGGCCAAAGCCTTGCTCGGTGCCCTGGGAGGGCCTGAGAGCACAGCCTTGCTGGCCAGCAGCAGATAAGCGCTTCTGCGGTAGCTCCAGCAGCCACGGCGGCGGGAGGCCCCGCCCCGGGCAGCCTGGGCTGGGGCTCCGGGGAGTGCTGGGAGAGAGATGTAGTCACTTGGAAGCCTGCCCAGGAAGTGGCTCTGCATCTTTTAGGCAGCCTCTTAAAAGGAAAACCTCACTCCCTCCAGACATAGACAAAGGGAGAGGTAATTTTGTAAACAGGGCAAATGCGGTGCCGGATGGTCCATGTGTCCTCTCGGAATGACGGCATTATCAAGATCATCACTCTCTCGGCTTTGGGGCATGTAAAGCTGAAGGTGACCAGTCACGGTACGCAGTACTCATATTGTCGTCTCAGTTGTTTCTCAGAGACGGGCACAGGCGTTCCTCAATAGGCGTTCGACAACGATCCACTCGTCTGCAGAGGGGCTGTGACCCACTTCCGCCCGTCATTTATTCACTTGCTCATTCATTAATCATTCATTCACTCGTTCAGCTGTATGTCAGGCACGGTCTTAGAACTGGAGATAGAAGTAGGGGGAAGGCCAGTTGCAGTCCTGGAAGAGCTGGGTTCCCCTCTGCCCTGCCAAGAAGCCATCCTGGCCCCACTCCTCCCCCTCCCCATTGTAGCACCTTCCGCCGTGGAAGCTGGAGTCCTGCCCCAGGCTTGTTTGGAGAACTTCCAGTTGCCTGAGATTTCCTTAACCCCCACCTTCCCGTTCAGGGCTCTGAAAGTAAACCAAGACCCGGGACAAGGGTTCAGGAAACGGGTCCATTGTTGGTTGTCAGATCCAGTAAAGTAACCTCATGGGCCAGGCTGGGCCAGGGGAGCATCTGTAATGTAGCCAAGGGGTGCAATGACAGCATCGAGGCTCTGTGCCCACAAACTGCAGTTTCAACTCCCCTTACCAGTACTTATGGGCTGTGTATTCTAATTTGGCTCTTCTGTCTGAAAGGGACCGACACTCATTCAAGACAGCTCAAGAGATGAAGGATTATTTTAAGGCCTTCCCAGCACAGAAATTGTCGGGGGAGGGGGGAGTAGGAAAGGCGCAGGGTCTGGCTCCAGAGTGCTCCGCACCCACCTGGCAGCTCTCTGCACGTGATTCCCTCTCTCCCACTCCCATTTGCCTTATAACTGTCCACTACAGTCAAGTCCCTGATTACCTCCACTCCCCTGTAGAGCTCACATGTGACAGCTGGCCTCCCTTCCCAACACTCACTCATCAACTTCTGACTGAGTCCTCCAGCCCCAGCTCTAACCAACTTCCTGCTTCTTCCCATGTTTCCCCATTCAGATTCCTAAGGGAGAATCAGACCAGCAGAGCTCGCTTTTCAAAGCAGGCCACCACCAGAAGACGCTGGCATTGAATTGGACACCCACCTGGGGCCCACGGGCTGTGGCTGCTAAAGGGACAAGGAACGGAGAGGGAAACCATGGGTGGCCTGTCTTTGCTGCTTTAGCATGTGCTGTCTTCAGGACAAGAAATGTATTTGACTTTGTGTAATTTAAAAAGGATATTCCATGGGGCGCCTGGGTGGCTCAGTAGGCTGGGCAGCCGGCTCTTGATTTTGGCTCAAGTCATGATCTCATGGGTCATGGGATCAAGGCCCATGGTAGGTTCCCTGCTCAGCAGGGAATCTGCTTGGAGATGCTCTCTCTTTGCCCCTCCCCCAACTCACGTTCGTTCTCTCTCAAATAAATAAATAAATAAATCTTTTTAAAAAAATAAGGAGCACCTGGGTGGCTCAGTCCACTGAGTCTCCCACTCTTGATTTTTTTTTAAATATTTTATTTATTTATTTGACAGACAGAGATCACAAGTAGGCAGAGAGGCAGGCAGAGAGGGAGAGAGAGGAGGAAGCAGGCTCCCTGCAGAGCAGAGATCCCGATGCGGGATTCGATCCCAGGACCCTGAGATCATGACCTGAGCTGAAGGCAGAGGCTTAACCCACTGAGCCACCCAGACGCCCCCGACTCTTGATTTCAGCTCAAGTCATGTCTCAGGGTTGTGAGACTGAGCTCTGCATTGACCTCCCCACTTAGTGGGAAGTCTGCTTGAGATTCTCTCTCTCTCCCTCTTCCTCCACCCCTCCCCACCAAAAAATAAGTGAGTAAGTAAGTAGGTAAATAAATAAATAAATAAATAAATGGATGTTCCTTAGCTGAAGTTCAGTTTCCTCTGTAAAATGGGTGCCTATCTCACAGGGTTATTGTGAAACATAGAAATAATGTATATAAAGTACCTGGTATTGAATCAATTGTGGCAATTATTATTACTATTAGTATTTATTATATATAATATTATATATTATAATAACAGATAATGTAGTTTCCCCTAGAAACAAAGCAAACTGACTCATGAATGAACTTTTAGGACACAACCTAAGTAGGTCAATGAATTGACAAACTAAATTAGATTTTAGTAAAGATTCATTAACCTTTAACATACCTGGACAGTGAGTCTTTTTCACATGACGTAAAATAATTATTTGGAGATCTTTTATATGCTAGTTCCAAAGTTTATTAAAAAGATAAGGTGTTGCCATTTTCCAAGAAAGGTGTGTTCTAGGGGCGCCTGGGTGGCTCAGTGAGTTAAGCCCCTTCCTTCGGTTCGGGTCATGATTTCAGGGTCCTGGGATCGAGCCCCGTATCGGGCTCTCTGCTCAGCGGGGAGCCTGCTTCCCCCTCCTTCTGCCTGCCTCTCTGCCTACTTGTGATCTCTCTCTCTCTGTGTCAAATAAATAAATAAGATCTTTAAAAAAAAATAAACAAAAAATTAAAAAAAAAAGAAAGGTGTGTTCTAGAGGGTGTGAAATCTGGTAATTAAAGCAGAGACAGAGAGAGCTGTAAAGCAATGATAGTTACTCAGAGGTAAAGAAAAAGGTTTATAGGCACTCTATATTTTTTCTTAATTATTGTAGCCTAGAAGTAGGAAAAAGAAAGAAGCAAAGAGACAGAGAAGGTAGACAGAGTTCACAAACGAGCGTGTGCGCACACGTGCACATGAGTACCTGTGTGCGCGTGTGTGCATGTGATCGTATTTAACAGGAGCTGACATGCAGGAGGGGTATTTCTTGGTATGTAAAAGGCACTATGTTTGGAATGGAGAGAATGCAAATATTATCCATGCAATATACAAGCCACAGACTTGTTGTGAACATTGCCAGAACATTCATTGTCTTTCAAAATGAGGCAGATCACTGCCTCAGTTGAGAATCGAGTTCTACATTCATGAAGACCTTGGTTAAGGCCCAGCCACCAACAACCAGCCCTGTGACTTCAGCCACTATTTTTTTTTCAATCCAATCACCCCCAAATTCCTTCTCTGAGACAGAACAAATCATTTGACTTACAAGGAATCTGAAGCTACTCTGGGATTCCAAGCTATCTATGAATTCATCTATAGACACACACCAGCCTGTAGAGGACCCAGGCCCCATATCTTCTGTACCATTTGCCAGACCTGGGATGGCCCCTGGGATCCTCTGGGTCTAGGCCCTAAATAAGACGTAAAACTGAAGCTCAATAATGTAATGTAATTGCTAAATCTTTGAGTACCTAGGTAGTGCCACTAACTGTCTAAGCCCTTTAAATGTATTAGCTCGTGGACTTTTACAACTCAGAGACAGAAGCTGTCTCCCCCAGACTCTACAGAGCCTGTCTTCAACAGAGACACCAAATGGCAGTGCCTGGGAACAGCAGTGGGATTACCTTTTGGGTTCCTTTGAACTGAGGAAACTCTTAGGATTCTTAGACAATGGGGAGAGGGGGCCTCAAAAAGGAGACAATGGACTTCGTGGTAATTAGAGAAGGAGGGGGCAAATGATGAACTGAAAACACAAAAGGACAGGACCATGTGTTTCACCCAGATGTGGTGGACTAGTCAGATGACTGACATATCATTAGCTACTGGCCAGCCGCAGCTTAGACCCCACATCAGCCAGATCACATTGCTGAATGTTTCCTAACATCTGCTGTGTATTCCATATGATGCTCGATGTTTGGAGGGCGCATACGTAGGAGAGAAATAAGGAGAGAAGAAACAGAATTAACTCTGGGACTTCCTCAAAGGTGAAGTGTGGCCCTTTTAGAACAGAAGGAGGTAGGAGTTTGAAAAGGCATATTCAATTTTCAGTAATTTCATATCTGGAAAAAAAACCCTACCTTTTTAACATACAAATCATAGAAATTAAGCCTCTGAACTGGGAGAGATCATCAGAGGATGGACTATGTCCCCCTAGGTATCCAGTTCTAAATTCAGGGTTGGCAGCTGAATGACATTTTCACATGTAGCAGCAAAGTAGAGCATTTTAAAGGGTTAAGAAGCCCTGGCCCTGTGCCCTGAAC